AACAGGCTAATGAAAGCATGCCAGGCAACACTTGTTCATAAAGTAGGGATCATCATTAGTGTTCTGTTACTGCTCCTTTCAAGAGTGACTAAACTGATGGACCTGTGGGTGGTGCATGTGAGCACTCACAAGCCCTGCAGAATTGTTCCCGCTGCAAAGAGTGAACAAACTACAGCTGGAATAACATTACTGTTAGAGACGTGAGGAGCTCAAGGATTGGGAAGGTATAAAGCCTCTGACACAAGCAGATCCCTTGGGTCTGATATTAGTGTTCCCATTACATTAAAGAAGTATTTCATTGCAATGAAAAGCTTCCAATTCTGTGCAGTGTACAAATATTTTTTAAGTCATTAACCCATCTTCTTCCAAAAGCTTAGCTCTGGAGTATGCTTAGCGATACAGATCCAAATCCAAAAGCTGCTTGTCTGAGCTATTGCCTGCTCTCTGGGTTACAATTCCTGTCAGAAGTAGTGTCCAAGCCAATGCAGACCTCTGCAGTCAGATTTTTTCAGCTTAGGACAGGAGAAAACTGCTTGCCACCTTGCCACCTTCCCAACAAGGTCCTCTGATTGTCTTGGGCCATGGCAGTATGCATCAGACCATGGCAACAGCCCTGTAAACTTGTGTGGTGAGCCTTGATGGTTTGGTTTTGTTTTTCTGGAGGCCTCCTTTTCAAAGTGTCCCACAGCTGAGAAATGCCTCAACTCTCCAAGGCTTTGGTGGGACTGAAGGCACTTAGCAATTTTAGTGGAACCTTCTTGCCAAGCCAAGGGTAATACAAGGAGGTGTTTAAAACAAAGTGACCAAAGGAAAATTGTTTTATGAGTGACACTTCCTTGAATATGAAGCTTTTTATTTTCAAAAGGTGAGCATAGACTGAAGTCTCAGTAACAGTTATAGCCATTTAAATAAATAGGCAAAGTGTATGTAGGTACAAAATCCATTGGTAAGATTCCCATATTGCAAAGCCAAATTCACAATTCCTTACAATGACTGCAGGAGGTAGGTGAGTATTGTTACAGCAATGCTTTGTATTTCTCTTGGAGGCAGTGGAGGTACTTATGCTAGAATTAACTGTACACGACAGGTGTCCTCAGGGGTAGCCCCAGAGCGTAAGTCTGCACTACATGTTTATGGGGATGTCACCAAGAAATAGGAGTTTTACCAGCCCTCAGAGCTGAAGCAAGTGACATTGGGTAATCGTAATGACCTGCCCAGGAAAATTGCTCTGCACAAATGAGGGCACATCCTCTTCAGCAGCAGCATGGTCCTGCTTGTCCTGAGTGGAAAGGGGCAGGTTTCAGAAATATTGAAGTCTGCAGTGATTTCCCTGGGCTTTTGCATTTCTTGCAGTCATCACTTCTAATGTCTATTTAGAACACATTTGACAGTAAAGCATCAGGCACTGGTCATAGGAGGAACCTAAGAAAGGCTTGCTGCTGGACCCTCTTCTGCTTTAAGCAATCTTGGTCTGAATAATGTAAATATGAACACTTTATTTGGGTGAATATTCTGATGATGCAGTTGATAAAACTGAAAATTATTCAACTGTACATTGTCTTTATGTGTTTGTTTTTGCTCACTGTAGTAGCTTCTAGATGGGGTTGGCCGTTCCAGGGTGCAGGACAGCCACAGGTGGGCAGGAATCCCGTTTCCTTCCTTCTGCTGTAGGACTGACCAGGTTGTGGTTGAGATTCAGCATTGATTACCTGATCTCAGTGGGTGAGACTCACAACCTGGTCTCTACCCACTCGTATGTTTTACTGCCTGAAGACCAGGGGAGGTAGAAAGAGGGTTGTGTGTGTTCCCCACTTTTCAAAAGGAAGGGAGGAAATGGGAGAAAATGGGGGGAAAGTGGGGCGAGGGAAGAGAAGGAATAAAATACTTCCTGACCAGTGGTGATGCCTGCAGAGCAGCCAGCTGAACTTGAAATGGGGTTGAATGAGCAACTAGACTGTGGAGTACAATTAAGCTGAGGACTGACCCATGTGCTTTGTGTGCTTTCAAAATGTCTCTGGCTGTAATGACAGAGGAGGTTTTTTGCAAGTCTGTTCTCCCCCTTTTTGTAACCCATTTTTCTGTAACACTAATACTTGTCTGACCACTGCCTCAGCCCTTAACCAGTCTCGGGGGTAGGAAAGGAGCATCAGGGGGAAATCTGCATAAAGATACAGGGATAAGTTCAGTTTGTTTTCCTCTGAAAGCTTTGACACTTTTTTACAGAGAGCAGATTCATTTTCAAGGCTTCCTACATTCCTGCTATTGTACAGTAAGTGTTTCAGACCGGTGTGCCTGTGTTTCCGACTCCCGTGAAGTCCCCTTTGCAGCAGGGCGTGCCTCGAACCGCTTCAAAAGAACCAACTTCTACAAAAGAAAAAAAGAAACCCAAGTAGGCTTGAACATACAAAGAGAGGGAGAAAGGGAAGAGAAAAGGGCCAGGCAGTGTTGAATACAAAATGAGTTCAGCCAGCCCCAGGAGTTCTTCATCACTTACATTTATCTTATTCTGGGAGAGCAGAGCTAAACCCAGCACTGACATAAACCACTCTTTGCCTTTGACTTTGAGTGCGTGTGCACACACAGCAGATACAGGCATATGGAGAGGGGCACTGGATTTCAATGAAACATTTTTCCCCCTCTGAGCAGTGGTGTTAGTGGGGAAAATAGCTTTTTGTGTGTGTCCTTTCAAAGGCAAACTGTCGAGTGAGTCTCAGATGCCTCCAGTTTCAAAGCATGCATGCGCTCACAAAACATGCACTTGAAAAATAAGCAGCTGGTAGTGTTTCTCAGACGGGCTGACCATCCCAGGAGCATGCTGGGGTGTTAGGCTGATCTCCCCAGTGCTCCATGAAGTCACTGAAGTACTGCTAAGGGAAGCTCACCAGCACGTGACAGCAGCCCTGGCCCAGCCAGCAGTGCAGGGTACCCAGAGGCCAGGGCCCCTCCAGGGCACCAGTCGCCTCGCGTTGACATGAGATGCTAGTGGGATGCTGCTCCCATCCATGCCCAGGGTCTAGTGCGTGGCTTGTGGGATGAAGGATGGGGCCTCCTATCAAGGAGGCCCCAAGAGCCCCATGGCCCATCAGCCTGGAGTGAGATGTTTAAGACTTCAGCACTGCGCCATCATGGGTCTCCCCGTGCCTGGGAGCTTGTAAGGCTTCTGGAAATGCGTGTCAGTGGCTATTGCTTAGCAAGGCTACCACTCATTTCCAAGCTTTGACCTGTGGTCCTTGCATGGAGCAGTTCCCAGCCACAGCAACCGGCGTTCCAAAGGGGAATGCTCAAGCTTAACCCTGGGGAGGGAAGAGCAACAGGGCTGCTGGCAAAGCACGCTTGTGCCATGGGGACTCAGTGAGGGAGCACGCAGTGCCTGCTGCAGACTGAAAGAGAAGCTGGAGGGCTGGGTGTTTCGCTGGCAAAAAGCACCGTTCAGAGGACTTTTTATTCTATTCATGATAGAAGCATTTATACTCCTTATAAAAAGGAGTATATAAGAGTGGTTGTAAGATACAAATAGTCTGGCAACTTTGTGGATAATATACAGAAACAAGGTATTAACTTCTGCTCCTTATCGTCTTTCTTACCAAGTAAAGGTTTTCATTTTGATAAAAATTGACAATTTGGTTTGGGAGTATCCAGCAGCTTTTGCCTTTGAAACAGAATTACCCACCCCCCCAAAAAAAAAAAAAAAAAAGGCTTGCCTCAAGTTGTTTTTAAAGAAAGCAAACCATCAGTATCCCGTGTGCCTAAAAACATCCAGTTGTTTGTGGAAGGTGGGCCCCAGGCGCCTGCCATGCGCCAAGCATGCCCAGCCAGCTTCCTAAACTAGTGAGGCTGCTCATTCCATGTCACCGCCGCTCAGCTTTGAGCTGCTGGGCTCCCTCGCTCCCTCCTTGGCTCGAGAGTTATTCACTTTTGAAAAAACATATCTACCTCATACTGTGCCCATCACTTTGTTCTCCACACGCCTATTCACATGGGCAAACCTCCACTTCTCCTCTCCAGGCAGGCGGCGGTGGCGGGAGGGGAGGCTGCGCGGAAGGGAAGTTAAGATGCGTGCACGGAGCTATTTCCCTCTTCACCACCTTTGGGCAGCTATTGTTGGCCCAACAAAAGCGCTCGCTCGCGGGGGATCGGGACCCTGCCGAACACGTGGCAGCGCCGGGGGCACTGTGCTGTCCCGGCGGCAAACGCCAACGCGTCTCACCTACTGGGTGGGTCCCACGCAGGTTTCCCGCGTGTCCCCGGGATTAACGCTCTAAAACCGAGGGCGCACCCTCAGCGGCTTCGCGGCCGCACCCGCGCACGGCGGCCGCCCCGGGGCGGGCAGCGCTCCGTTACCTCGAGCAGGGTCGCAGACGGACCGACGGCGGTATACCGCCGTCCGGCACCGGGAGGCCAAGGAGGGCATTTACCGGAGCCTCCGGGATTTGGCCGGCGGGGGCTGGAAGGAGAGGGACGTTTCCCCTGGCCGGCGCGACGGAGCATCCTCGGAGGGGGAGGCTGCGGGCAGGACCCGGTGCCGGCGGGTGTGGGTTCCCGCGGTGTGGGTTCCCCCGGTGTGGGTTCCCGCGGTGTGGGTTCCCCCGGCCGCGCCGTCGGGGCTCCCCCCGCACCCGATCCCGCCCGTCGCGCGCCGTGCCGGGGCGGGGCGGGGCGTGGCCGCGCGTGCCGTCGGCCCGGGATCACCCCCTCCCCCGCAACCTCCGCTCCCCCGCCCCCACACCCCGCGCCCCGCGCGCGCCATTGGCTTCCCGCACGCGCCGGCCCCGCGCGCGCGTCTCCATTGGCCGCGCCGACACGCGACCGGCGCGAGTGGCAGGGCGCGCGGCAGGAGGGGTGGGGCGCGAGGAGGGAGGGAGCGGGGTGTCGGGGGAAGAGGGGGCGGGGGGGGGACCCCGGCGCGTGCCGCTCCTTAAAGGGGGGCGCGGCGCGCGCTCCGACACCGGAGCCGTCGGGGCGCCACGCGCGCCGCCCCGTGCGCGCGCGGCGCTGGAGCCATGAGCCTGCCCTGGGCTGAGCGCGCCCGAGACCCGCCCGAGCCGCCGCCGGGACCGGGACCGGGGCCCGGGCCGGAGCCGGGCGGGTGCGGCGGCTTCGCGCCGGGCTCGTGGCTCGGCGTGTGCTGCGCCGCCCGCCTGCCCGCCGCCGCCTCGCCGCGCTACCTGCTGCCCGCGGAGGACGAGGAGGCGGCGGCGGCGGAGGGCGGCGCGGCGCGGGCCAGCGGGGGCAGCCCCGGCGGGGCGCGGGGCGGCGGGCGGCCGCGGGGCGGCGGCGGCGGCGGCGGTGGTGGTGCCGGGCTGCGGGCGCAGGTGAGCGGCGTGCAGAAGCAGCGGCGGCTGGCGGCCAACGCGCGGGAGCGGCGGAGGATGCACGGGCTGAACCACGCCTTCGACCAGCTGCGCAATGTCATCCCCTCCTTCAACAACGACAAGAAGCTCTCCAAGTACGAGACGCTGCAGATGGCGCAGATCTACATCAGCGCCCTGGCCGAGCTGCTGCACGGCCCCGCCGCCCCTCCCGACGGCCCCGGCAAGGCCGAGCACCGCGGGGCCCCCTTCGAGCCTCCTTGCGCCGCCGCCGGGGCCGGAGCGCCACCGGGGCCGCCGGCGCCGCCGCCGGGGCCGCCCAGAGCGTCGCCCCCCGGGCACGGCAGGACTCGCTTCCCCCCGCCGCCGGCCGCGGGGGGCTACTCGGTGCAGCTCGACCCGCTGCACTTCTCCTCCTTTGCGGAGGGCGCCCTGATGGGACAGAGAGCCCCTTCCCCCGCCCTCCTCTTGCCGCAGCCCGGGCAGCCGCCGCAGGAGAGGAGCAAAACTTCGCCCCGGTCCCACAGGAGCGACGGGGAGTTCTCGCCCCGCTCCCACTACAGCGACTCGGACGAGGCCAGCTAAGGCGAGGGGGTCGTCCCCGGCAACCCCCCCTGCCGCCACGGGGCCGTGGCCGCCCCTAGAAGCACAGACTCCGCCGTGGGGGGAGCAGCCGGCCGCGGTGCTTCCTCGGACGGCATCAGCTCCCCTTGGTCGCTTTGAAATTCACCCCCTCGTCTCCCGCCCCCGGTAGCCCCTGGGTTTGTCCAGGGGGAATGGCTGTTAGCGAGTGACTGTACCCGCCCTGTCTGTCAGGGTCGGTTGGTTGTTTCCATTTTTAGTTAACACTTTAAAAGTTTCTTTTGCCTAGAAGTCGTTGCCGTTCCCTCCTGTCAACACGCCACCTCGCAGCGCGGAGCCTGGCTTGCCCTGCCGGCGAGCAGGTGATGCGCAAGGAGAAAGCCTGGCCCCGCTGCCGGGGATGCCGGGGTGCCGCCGGCGCCATCGCCACCCGGTCGTGAACCCGCCCTGACACCCCTATCTTCCAGGACACCGATCCTGCCCCGTCATATTGCTGTGGAAACACAGACACACACATATGTCAATAGCCGTCTTGTCCTGTAAATAGCGGAGAAAAATTGGACTTTCCTTAGAGCACCATGTCGGCGTCTTTTGGGGGGAAATTTGGCGCAAGCACTTTATCAGCGGCTGGAGATGCAGTTTCAAGAGGAAACCTACTAACCGCCAATTGGAGAGCGATACTTAATTAAGCCACTTAATCCGAACTCTCTTAAAAACGAAAACAGCTTTGTCGTGTCAAACTTTTATGTCCGTTCTATTTTCCTTTTGTGGTAATAGGAAACGTATTTATTATGCAGTGTTTGCTATAATTTCTGCTTTTTAAAAATTCTTTTCTACGACGACACTCGTTTATTTTAATTTTAGCAAAGCCAGCTGCCATTGTTTTATGTATTTTAATTTTAAATTTTTTTTGAGATCAAATAAACGTGGGGAAAAAAAACCCAAAACAAACAAACAAACAAAAAACCAAAACAAAACTAGCCTCAAAGCGTGGTCGGGTTCAGCTTCTCCCCCCCGCATTCCCCGAGCCAGGGTGGTGTCAAACCCCGCGGCGGGACTGAGAGGTACAGAGTCGGGGAGCGATGCTCCGGGGAGCCGGCGGGGTGCCCCGGCTGCCTGTAGAGGGACCGGGCAGTACCCTGGGGCCGGGGCGGGCTGTGCCATGCGTGGAGCAGCGCTGCATCCCCCGCCTGCACCGCCGGGACCGTGCCCCAAATCTCCGTCCCACCGTTCCCAGCGGAACCGGGATAATTACAACAAGTGCAGGGTGAGGGGCTTGGCGCTACTCTGTAGCCGTCTGTCCCCGCACCGCCGCTCGAGTCACATCATTCCTTTCTTACACTCGCCCCCCCCCGGTCGGGAACACGAGCGGTTTCCCCCACGGAGCCTCAGGATAAGCCGGGCGGGAAGGGTTGGGAGCGGAAGGAGAAGCCGGCAGGGTTTGGAGGACACGCGAGCAACGCAGTGGGTCGCCGGGGGATCAGGATGTGGCCACTGCGTTCGGGTGAAACCCGGGGCGGGGGGGAAGGGGGAGAAAGGGTGGCAGGGGAATGATGCTTTTCCCAGCCTACCCGTGACACCAGACCTGGGGCTAAACCGGAGCCGTGTCGCTGCCGGGGTCCCGCTGAGTTCAGCAGGTGACACCTGGGAAGGGGGTGTCTAAGGGGTGATCAGTTAACCAGGCGCGGCCGGGTGAGCGGCCCCCGCGGGAGCGAAGCCCGTGAGGGTGTCGCTTTCCCGTGCAGAAACAGGGCACCTGCCCCTCCGGTAACCCCGGGCTGCCGCACTGCCCTGCCCACTGCCAACACCCGCGGCCGCCGCTCGTACCTGCCGAAGCGGGGTACGGTCCCGCAGGGCGAAAAGTTCATTGGGAGGGCCATTTCCCTTCATAAAAAACGCCTGCATTATCGGGGTGGGTCACCGTTGGTTACGGGCGTTGATTTCTGGGCTGCGGAAGCCGGTCTCGCATCTTCGGGGGCACGCGTGGGGTCCTAGCACAGGAGTGATGCGCCGGAGCAAAATATCACAAATTTTGGGAGTGTTGTTTTGTTTATTTGGTTTTGTTTGGGTATGTGCACAGCGCGGGCAAAGCGGCGGCCGCCGTCGTGAGTGACGATGGGGCAAGACCCCTCGGAGGGGTCCCGGGGGTGCCCGCCAGAGGTTGGAAGGGGTGCGAGCACCCTCCCTCGGCCAAGCCGTCACGGGCGCTGCTTCTGCGGCTGCGAACACGAGAGGTGCTGGAAAAGAGCGCAGCAAAATCCTCCCCGCTCTCTCCGTCGGGTCCCTTCCCCCGACAGATGAGCGCACCGCATGGCGTGGCTGGTGCTCGCAGCCGCAGCGCAGCACTCGCCGTCTGAGGGGCTTTTTCTTTTTTTTTTTTTTTTTTTTTTCTTAAACACTTCTTTGAAAGGGACACCCAGCCGCATTCCCATTTTAAGGTTCAGCTATAGAGTTTGCATAACAACCGCTTGGCAGCCCCCCTCTCTTACACTCCGTTAACAAGCTGTAACGTATAGCTGCAGGTTGCTATAATCTCATTAATATTTTGGAAACTTGAATATTGAGTATTTCAGACCGCTCATTCCCCATATGCCAGGCCACTCCCGCTATGCTGGCTGGTTCCTTTCTCTCCATTATTAGCAATTAGCTCCTACCTTCCAAAGTCAGATCCAAGTATCTAAGATACTAGCGAAGGAATCAACTATGTGTTGCAAGCTAAGCATGCTTAATATCTCCCAAACAAACAAAGAGACAACATTTCTTTAAGTAATGAAGATGGATAAATCGCTTTATTGAGCTCGCGACAGTGTTTGTTTTGTGTAGACTACCGCAAAGTTTTTTAACAAGAGCGGGGACGCGCACCAGCCCCTGGAAGCAGTTTCGCCCGGTTTGCTTCGTGGGGTTTTATCATCTTAAACGGGCTTTTATTTGAAAAGGGCGAGTCAGAAGCGCACTATCCGAGCGTTAAATTTTGGCTGAACGCTGACTGTCCTCTGGGGTGTGCGAAACAACTGCGGGGGCTGGGAGGGCTCGGGGAGGCGGTCGCCTTTGTGCGAGGCGCACGGCGGCTCCCTTGCCTTGAGCCCGGGTCGCCGGACGAACCGCAGCCACGGGCTCCGGTGCCCGGCCGTTTCGGCGGCGGGGATTTCGGGGGGCTGGAGCGGGGCGAGGCGCGGCCGTGACGGGGCGGTGGGGGCGCGACGGCCGGGGCGCATCGCTGCCTTGCAGCTCTCCGGCTGCTGTTCGCTCAACCTCTGGCCTCGGGGAGGGAGGAGGAAAGGAAGGATGAGGAAGGGTTAAACCGGGCCAGGGGAGACCAGAAAAGCGCAGGGACCGTGGAGGGGGGGTTTGTGGGGGAGCTGGCCGTGGGGCCAGTGTTTCTTAATTAGAGCGGGGCGGACAATGCTTTGGGGCGGACAAAGCGGGGGACAGGGGGGCTGGAGGGCGGAGGAGGGGGTCTGGCCTCGCTCCCGGCCGCGGTGCGCCGTGTCTGGAGCAGAGCACGCGTTGTCAGCTGGTGAGCGCAGCGGCCTTTCAGGCGGCTCCCCAGGGAGCTGCGCGCCCGCGGTGAGCTCCATCGTCACCCCCTCCCCTCCATCATCATCATCATCGGCCTCCTCCTCCTCGGCGGCCCCCACACCAGCCGAGCACAACAGCCAGCATTCAAGCCCCCTTCCCTCCCTCCCCTCGCACAACAGCAGCGCAGTGGCAGCCACGCCACCTCCCAGCAACCAGCAGCACGCGAGGGCACCGCCGGGGCACCTGAAAGAGTCAAAGCCAAAGAAAGGGAGACAAAAGAGGAGAAAAGGATACGCAGGAACGGCCCAGCGTGTCTGCTCCGACAGTGCGGAGAGGCAGGCACCCACAGAGGGACGGGCGAGCCCACGCGGAGGCCGGGCACGCACACGCGTGCACATCCCTGCACACGCTCACAGGGGTCCGAGCCGCTGCCACAGGGATGGAGACACTCCCCGTTTCCTACCCTGCAGGAGCAGAGGGAAGCGCCCAAGTAGCTTTCCACCCCACAGCCCCGTCCCCGAGTCGGGCACCTCCCGGCCTGTGAGCCGCTGTTGCGACCCCGACAGCGGTGGCCCCAGCTCTGACATTGCCACCCACGGGCACCGAACTCGATACTCAGCAGGAGCCGTCCTTGCGTCCGGTCACCTGCCCCCCTTCCCCGTCACATCTACCCGTGACGTGCCTGTCTGGGAGAGAAAAGTGCGGGGGAAAGTGGCGAGGGGTCGGCTTGTGCGTGCGTGAGGCAGGAACCCTGCCGGCCCGGCGTGGGGAGCAACCTCTCCCGGGCAACCCAGACCCACAGCGCCCAGGCTGGGGCGAGGAGCCGCCGTGAACCCTGAGGGACAAGTGAGCAAGTTGTCTGATGCCGGCCAAGTCCTTGCAACGCTGAAAGGGGGCTCTGCTCAGGGCTGCGTGTCCTCCGGGGCGCACCCGGAGCTGGGTTCGGGCCTCGGAAAGCCGTATGCTGCTCTGCCGCCATCCCCCGTTAACTTTAGGTTGACTCTCTCTAATTACGTTTTCCAGAGCTACTGCACCGCCGGGAGTGGGTGGGAGGAAGCGCTGCTCCGCTGGCTGCGCTGCTCCGCTGGCTGCGCTGCTCCGCTGGCTGCGCTGCTCCGCTGGCTGCGCTGCTCCGCTGGCTGCGCTGCTCCGCTGGCTGCGCTGCCCTTGTGCGGTGGGTGCGCTGCCTCTGCCGGCGCTGGCCATTTCCAGGCTGCCCAGAGCCGGGCAGACAGAGAGGCCTCTTCTGAAGTGCTATCGAATGGCTCAGGATGCCTTCGGGAGCCCAGCCAAGGCGTGTCAAAGGCGGTTTGAGCGGCGAAGCATTTAAACGCTACAATGGGTGGCTTTCTGGCGTGTGCTTTTCTCTCTCCCCGCTTAGGACCGGGAGGAGGGAGAAGGCGTTTTTATTGTACTGCTCCAGGGGTGGGTGCGACACCCCCCCAGCCCCCGGGCCCCCAGCCCGATGCCGCAGCCGGGCTCTT